AATGAAACTTAATTCATTATTTCTAGTTATTGCAAAAGAAAATACCACAATAGCTACAGTGTGGGAAGTGACAGCAAGTCTACAAAATATCAGTAAGAAAAGTCCTGGACAGTTCTAGATGCACCATTTGATGAAAAAATGTGAAACACTGATTAAAAGTCCTCAGTGACCATCTCTCCACTCATCATCCTACTCCACCCAAAACCAGTTCAAGTCATGACACACATTGAATTTCCTCATCTATAACTCTCCAAGCTATAAATTCTTCCCTTCTGGATCCACTGCAGTTGCCATCCTGCTTTGCCTCCTGATATTCTGCACAGCTTTTCTAGTAGTAACAGCTCTCCACACTGCATGGGTTATCACACAATTCACACACCCATGTGCCAAGAGACAGTGGTAGGTAATTTCTAGACAATACAGAGTCTCATTTCCAGACCCGAGGACATAGTTTCTTTGTGTATTTTTGCTTTTTAATTCTGTAAACAATCCTCACCCAGGATCCTTCCCAATAGTGGAAGAAAATATTCTTCACACATACTAGTTGTTCAGTGGGTTTTGTCACCAGGCAATAGAAATTCCCTAATTAAGTCACCATTATTATATTCCTATTTCCTTTTCTTGGGAGATTTTCTCTGCCCTTTCCATGATTGCCAATCACTTATTGGATCTCATTTCTCCCTAGTTCTCAATGAAGCCTAATCCTAGTTCTTATGATGGAGGGCTACCTTTCCAGTAATTTTGCTTAAGCTTCCTTTAGATTTAGTTCCTCTCATTAACATTAAAACAAAGACCTCCCCTTAACTTTTCCACTGGATCTCTTTGCTTCTAGGTTTTGGCTGAAACAGTCAGCAGCTGCATTCATCATTTACTCAGATCATTCTTGCAGCAAATTACTGAAATCTGACTTCTTCCCATTAAAACTGCTATCCCTAAGATTAGTAATAACCTTTTTAAATTTTGTGGTACTAGGGAATGTGCTCAGGGCCTTGTGCATGCTCCTACATGTGTTCTATCCCCAAGTAACATCGCCAATTTTTTTTATTTTTTTATTCTGAGACAGTGTCTCACAAAGTTGCCCATGCTGGCCTTGAACTTGTAATAATCGTGCCTCAGCCTCTTCAGTTACTGGAATTAGACATGTGTCGTTACAAAATAACATGCAAAAGACTCCTAGCAGTGAATAGCAAATGTGCCAACAATGAGATCCAGTACGGGCTTCCAGATCCCAAAGGTAGGGAAAGTGGGTATCCAGTTCTAAGGCTGTGCTTCTCTGATTTGTGACTGAGTAGGAGATTCTACAGCACTGCAAGTGTAGGTACTATAGCCATCTGACAGTGTATCCTGACCACAGAAATAACTGCATGTTATTATTCAGGATAATTCCACATGATCCCTCTTCACAGCTGTGCAAATGAAACGTGCTAACAAAAGAATTTAAATCTCTCCAAGGCAAACTGGACCAGTGTGTAACATCTTAAAGTTTGCCCATGTAATAAACGAACTGAATAAAATCATTGACATGTGGGTCATTGTGCACGAGGGACATGATTTTATCTTGTCAAAAATGACATTTCAACCCCTTAAGGAGAGTGCATCATCCTTGCACATTCATTCTTTTCCCTGGTTCCAGGACCCAACACCTTCTAGATTTTATCTGGTGTCTCTGAGCATTTCTCATGCTCTGTGACTACGTTCTTTCCCTTTGTTCCCCTTCTATGTTGCAATTTGTGCAGGTTCTTTCCTGGAGGTGTCACAGTGTGAGTGAAAAAGGACACAAGCCCTTGACACAGTTAATGATTTGTGAATGCTCAGTAAGGGTAAGCCTGTGGTGGCACAGCCTTTGTCCTCAGCAGCTTTTATACCACTGAAATTATGAACTCTCCCCCAGTGAATAATAGGTGTTAAGTACATTCATGCATGCATCCATGGCACCTAGAGAAAGACATCTGAGGGAGGAAAAAGGAAACCAGTGGTTCTCTGACATAATATGTTATCATGAAAATATATGTTAAATATATAAAAGGCTCCAAACAGTCTTGTTGAGGTGGGAGATATAGCTCAGGGACACAAGAGCCTGCCTGGCAAGCGCAAGGACATGAGTTTGATATCTGGTACCAATGGAAAAAAATGTAATTGATGGCCACTGCATGGGGAAGGCACAGAGAACAGGCAGCCTAAGGGAACTGAGAAGTTCACTAGACGTGATGACCCAGCAACTGAGTGACTTTGAAAAGTTCAGTTTGCATGGCCTTTCCCCTTCCAAAAAGTGTCAATAAACAGCTTCAACGACTTTCTGTTGTCACAGAGTAAAGACCAAACTCATTAAAATGGCTCAAAAGGCTCGATGTGTTGGCCTTTCTTATCTCATCCAGCTAATAATAGCTGGTGAGCAGAGGCATGGATAACAGTAGAACTACAAGGGAAGCAGAAAGCTAAAGGGTTTACCCCACACACGCACACATACATACACCGCCCCTTTGCCCCAATTGACCCCAAGGCCACCAAAGACTTGGCAAAGCCTGGAAATGGCATGAACCACAGGGCTTCGTGCCTGTGGCTTCACCCTGGGACAAACCACAGACTAAAACAGAAAGTGACGCTACCCAGGAATTAGTGGGTTAAGTGTAGCAGGAAATAAAGGGTGCTCTCAGGGTCAAGAAGATTTAAATTCTATAGCGCCAACACACAAATGTTAAAAAACATCTGGTTATTTGGCCAGCATGTTGGCACATGCCTATAATCCCAACATTTAGGAGGCTGAAGAGGATGACCACAAATTTGAGGCCAGCCTGTGGTACACAGTCATTTTAATATCAGTGAGACTCTGTCTTGAAAACAAACAAACAAACAAACAAACAAAAATCGGGTTATTCATAGCTGAAACTAAAGAGAAGCCTATGAACAAGCTATTACAATACACATTGGAAGAACTATTCAACAGAAAGGGATAGGATGGTCAAGGTCATTCAACATTTAAATTCCAGCTTTTAAAAAATTTCTATTTGAGTTACTGTTACTAGCATTTGGGAAAGCTATGGGAAGCAGGTAAGTATAGCTAAGGTGAACAGGGGTGTGACTACATGAAAAAAATAACTTTTATAGTTCAATAGTATACCATGATAAATGTGGCTGATTTAAGTATTTCAAAATAACTAGTAGAAGTTAGAATGTCCCCTGAAACAAACGGTGTCTGAAGTGACAGATACACCAATTACTCTGATCTAATCATTAAGCATTGTATATATATATACATTGAAATGAACACTTCATACCCATAGTGCAATGAACTGGCAATTACTATATGTCAATCAAAAATAAAAAATAATTTTAAAATTCTATTTGACATTCAAACTGCATAAGCCATATGTATGTCCAAAAAGGTGAAAGTTACAAAAACGTAAAAGCATGGACAGAGTTTCAATTTACCAAATTCATAACTTATCCACTTATTAAATTTTATCAGAAAAATTCCTTAAGCAGCATGGATAAATCATTTCTAAAATGCATACTACACAAATGTCATATCCGGACTGAACTTCATCTGTTATTCACCACTATATAGTAAATAAGCCCAGAGAATTTTTAAAAATATGTAAAGAACATACATATTAGTGATTTCCACTTAAATATGAAATATAGATCTATTCATATCATGGTTCACAGGCTTTGAAAATAAAAATTACTTGATATCTAATATCTTGTTTTGCTTCTTAAAACAAAGGGTTAATAACTACAGATTGTCCTTTCTTAAATAGAGTACTACTAAAAAAAATCAAGATTTTAATATTTATAACTAAAATAAATATGTTTTAATAATAGAGTTTAACATTCATTTTATATGCAAGAGACTAAGGGAAATTTTCTAGTACATACAGGAGTACAAGAGAGAAAACACTGGCAGGTTATCTGGTATTTAAAGAGTGTAAATAATTTTGCTTTGTTGAGAAAAAGGAGATTCCTTTAAATGTTCTCAAAAATGCAAATAGCCACGTGTCCTGGAACAGCTACTTGTTAGGAACTACAGGACAAAAATATCTGGGACTCTATTTCCAACTGAATTAATAAGAAGGAAGTGGCCTGTACAGTAAGAGTGAAAACACTAGGAACCATTGCATAAGGAATGAAGACATCACACATGAGAAGGGTACAATCTCTAGGGTGTGATATCCACAAATGAGAAGGGTACAATTTCTAGGGTGTAAAAGTAACAAAGGCAAAGAGCGATGCTTCTTATAAGCTGCTTTTTTGTATAGGAAAGAGAAAAATAGACAGGTTGATCACTCCTAACCCAAAAATTAGGGAACCTGAAATGTTCCAAAATCTCAAACTTTTTGACCACTGCCGGATGCCATAAGCAGGCAACTTCACATCCAATCTCATGTGACTGGTCAAGGTCAAGAGCAAGTGCACTACAAACACCGTAAAAATAACCTTTTCCCAGCCCTGTGTATATATGGTAAGTATGAAACTAATGATTTCATGTTTAGATCTAGGTTTCACCTCTAAAATAACATGCTATGAATTTGAAAATACTGAAAACTATAAAATCCAAAATACTTCTGGTCCCAAGCATTTCAGGTAAGGCAAACTCAATCCATAATCTCTTATGTGAGAAGAGTAAGTCAGGAGTACGGGAAAACTAAAATGAATAAAAACAGAAAGGAACTGAATACATAAAGCTGGTAACAAAAACAATTAATTCTAGCACTTTCAACCATCGTACCTTGACTGGACAGCCACAGTGGCGTACATTCTAAAAAGAAATGCTATAACATTCATTTTACTCGCCTACTGATGGACATAAGACATAATTTTTAAAAACACTTATCTAATTTATAGGGTAAAGCCAATAAATAAATTCATGCTCTGGTGATTCATTAGAAACTTAGATTTATGCCTTAAGAGATAAAAAACAAATATGAATTGTTAGAAGTTGACATTTTTACAAAGGGAATGCATGTGATCCAACAAGAGCCAGTGGTCACGTCAGGACCCACCTCCTGGCAGTACTGCAGGATGCCTTCCTTGCTGCCAATGCAGGTCTTGGTCCCCGATGGATCCGGCTCCCACTTCCCATTCTGCACATTCATGTGCATGTTCAGTTTGCCACAGAACATAGCGATCTGGGGTTCCGCCAGCAGGCCGGCATTGCCATCAGTGGGCACCTAAAAAATAAATAAATACAGAAATGAGTAAGTTTCAGTTAGTCATAGAACCCATGGCTCCAAGGTCGAGGTTGGGAGAGGAATAAGGAATCTGAGTGACAATAAAAAAGCATTCTATCCTTGTGTGCTTTTAGCTACATGTTAGCCTGCCTTCAGTTGGGCAGTGGGTTATCATATGCTACAGACCACCTTTAATACACTGTAGTTCTTTCACAATGAAATAGAGGAAGACATTAACAGCACTGAAAGGAATTTATTCAGGCACAGAGCTACACAGTTTGCCACAGATTTTACAAAACCTGCTGCTGAAAGATTCTCACTATAACTAAAATGTTTTTTTCTGAAATAAATACAATCACAGTGGTGGAAATCACATCCTCGTGATAACTACCAGCAGACTCACACAAAGTGCTGCACCAGTCCCTGCATGATGATCAGGCCTGGATGATCAGGCCCTGGAGATCACAGTGTGCCACCTCTCAGCAGCGACAGCACTGTGTTACTGGTGCACCTGTTTCTTTAGCAAGATTGCAAGGACATAAAAGCTTACCACAGAATTTGCCCTCCGCAAATGTAACTGAATACATTGGTCACTTTACCTGTTTTTTTTTTTTTTTTCCCTAGAACATTCTATGATTTACTGTCTCAGCTCTTCTGTTAAGGCTGCGTGGGTCTCATCTCCCCACCACGCCACAAGAAGTCAACAATGTCCCATTCGGAGCCTACTGTGCCGTGAGCTCAGACGTGGTCTCGGTTATGACCACTGCGGGCAGTAAAATGCTTTACAGAAACTGGAAATGGTGCCATCTGTATTCATAGTCCCTTCTGTGTGCAGGTACTACTTGTAGATAAATATTTTAAAAAGGGAAAACGGAAGTTCTGAAATATGTTTCACCTTATTCAGTAGGTTCTATGAGAATTGAATAAATCATCAAGAGTAAAGGAGAGGGCTGGGGATTTAGCTCAGTGGCATAAGTGCCTGCCTTGCAAGCAGGCAGTCGTGAGTTCGATCCCCGGTACCGATAAAAAGGAAAAAGACAAAAAAAAAAAAAAAAAATGAGTAAAGGAGCTACTTGACATTGAGGATTCAAAAACACAATAAGCATAATTCTTCCTTGTTACATCCAGTTGCTGAAAAAATGTGAGATTTTCATTTCCTCAGGGCATAGCTTCCAACAGCAGCCTTCACGCTGTCAAGCCATGGGTGATTGCACAGTGATCTGAGTCAATCCCAAGAAGTGTTACCAGGAAAAAAAGAAACTAATTGCACGGAGAGACTTCAGTTCAAGAAATGTAGTTTGTCCTGACATGTCTTACCAGAGAAATGTAAAATGGATCAAACATCTGCCCATTCAAACCATCTTCATATGTATTTTATCCAACCACAACAAAGGATTTATATACTTTTAAAAACAAAAAAATAAACAGATCTTGCACCGAATCTAGTCACGGGTGAAAGAGCTGCCAGTGAAATCGTATTTTTAGGGTTCTTTTTCTACCTTTCACAAATTCCTGCTTGTACGCTGCCGGATGTTAAAGTCATTCCCTTCAAACAGTAGCTAAGACCACAATGGCAGATCATCTACAGAACTGCTGGGTCCTCTTCACTTCTGCTCCAGCCCACTGCCTCCGCCTACGACTCTGGTGAAAATGAGTCTCATTCTCCACAACTTGCAAAGCAGCAGCCTATGCAGAAAGCTGTTCAAATTAAAACTTCACAGCTCTCCTGAGGGATTAAAGTGAAAGTCAATGCTTCCATCTTAAAACCGGGGATGACAAATTTTGCCAAATTTATTGATTAAACCAATAATAACATGGCAAGAAAGTTAAAGAAAAGTCAAACACTCCATCAGACACATGTGGTTGAGGCCTTGTATTAGACACTTAAGGTACTGCCCTGGAGGAGTTTTCAGTCCACTAATGAAATCCCCATTGTATTGTACATTCTGCTTGACCTTCAAATATTTCTGCCCCAAAGATTAAAAGGCCTAGCAGTAGCTTGTTACTTTATTCCTTACTGAAGAGAGATTAATGAGACTTTGCCTCAGTTGGTAAGTATCTGTCGAATGAGTTCCATCCTCAAAATTTCCCTGTTCCTCTTTCTCTCCAATTTTTTATTGTCTAAAGAATGTATTCTACCTTCTGGTCAACATGAATGTTCCCAATCCCATTTCACCCCTTCAAACAGCATTTGACGGTTTCTCTCCTTTCAGGGTAGCCAAGCCTGGAAGGCCTCCTGTGCCCCCACCCATGCTAGTAGTCACAACCTTGGGTGGCCCCCTCCCCCAAAGCATCAGGCTTTATCTGTGCAGCAAGTAGAACTTGAAAGAAATGATGATGTGTAACTACCAAAGCTAGGTCACAAAGGTCATCATGGTACTTCATTGCTCAGCTGCTGTGAGGGAGGTCAGTCGCCATGATGTGAGGACACTCAATAGAGCTAAGACAGAAAACAGCTTGAAGCCATTCACATTTTCTTAAGCCTGCAGGTCTGGCTGAGGACCCAATTGCAACCTCAAGAGGGACTCAAGAGTTAGAACTTCCCATATGGGGTTCCAAATTACGTTGTTTATAAACCATTAAGCTTGAGGTAGCCTGTCACACAGCAATAAGACACTCAGTCACTCCCCCTTTTCTCAGGCTCCTTATTACAGCTACAAATAATCCAAACTTTCCATTATTGAAAGTCTCAAACAATAAACAACAAAATTCCTCCCATTCTGTTATGGGAGAGAGCAAAGGGTCAGCAAACGTTTGGGAACGGACCAGACAGTATCTTAGATTTTGTGAGCCACACAATCCCTTTTGTGACTGCATAGTCCTATCATTATATAGTAGCACAGAAACAGCCTTAAGACCATATGCAAAAAAAAGGGTGTGGCTTTTTTCCAGTATAATTTTATTTACAAAAAGTCATTAAACCAGACAGACACATGGGGCCATAGTCTGCTGAAATCCTGTTCTAAAGTGATCATCTTTCATTTCCATCACTCGTCCTAAATGTTAAAATCACCTTGTGATTTACACACTCACTGTCAACACATTCCCACTTGCTGCTAAAACACAGTAATTTGACTTCCATTCCTAAGGCAGCTTCTCAAAGGCTACAAACGATTCCTAGCTGAAAAACTAAAAACAGGCTTTTGATTCATACCTCTCCCTCTCACCTTCTTTGCCACACACTGAGTTTTTCTCAGAAGCCTTTTCTCTTGGCGTCTGTCATGATTTATCTTGATTTCAACTTCTCTCAATACCTCTTTCCTGATTCACTATCCCTCAATTCCACACCTGGGATTTTCCTAAAGGCAGGGCTGTTACTTGTCTTCTCACCTACTTTAAAAAGTCCTACTGATTTTACCCTTTAAATTCCTAGCTGCAGAGAGGCCATCACAGTACAACAACACTAGACAATTCCGTAGTTTGGCGGCAAAAGAATAAGTAAGACCAAGTCCTTATCCTGCTAGCTGGATGACAGACTTTCCCAGTTTATAGTGGACTAAATGTGTTCACAGCATATGAGAGTTCCGATGCTAAACCCAGGAAAGTCCTTGGCAAAAATAGGAAAACGGGGCACACTATCTGATGAACTTATAAAATATACACTGCTTCAAATTTTGAAAATCTTTATTCTTTAATTTCCTTTTACATTTTTTTCTGTTTTTTACCTTCTTATCCTTCCCTCTGGCCTTCACAGTTATTTTAGTGGCATCTGCTTGTGTATGTGCATGTGCTGATTACCAAATGGTGATAATCTTTTTACAGTTCTACAAATACACTGATTGACCCTTCAAGTAAGTTGATTATGTAATAATTTCTACATTTTAATGTTAGTTTAGTTACAAAATATATACTTTAGTTTCTGATTTCAGGTTTTCCACCAGGTGAGATTTAATATTAACTTGCTGAATAAATACATAGAACCTTGATAATTAACAAGCCCTATTTCCATAAAGCAGATAGAGTAACAGATTAGGCATGGATTGCTCTATAATTACAGCAAATTATTGAACTTGAAATTATAAAATCTGTTTTATATACACATCTTATTATACTTGACACTACAAAAGACCCTGTACAGATAAATACTTACATCACAAGAATCAAAAAACCACCTTTTTCAAGCAAAATTCTTTCCCAAACCAAAAGCTGCATACATGAGAGAGCAATTAACTTGAAGAAACAAACTGAACCAGAACTCTTTTAATTCTTTCTGAAGCCCACCCACACAAAATCCTATGTTTTAAGTAGCGTATCTCTGCCTACGTTAATGTACACAAACAACTCACCTGCATCGAATAACCCATCTAAGAGACAAGTCCTGGATGCTACAAAAAGCACACTCTGACACTCAGGCAAAAAAGAAAAGTTACCATCCCTGGCAATGTAGCCATGCAGAAGATGATGCCAGGCCATCAGTACTGGGGGACAGGGAGACAAGCAGAGAAAGGGAGGTAGCATGTTTACTTGAAATCTATTTTCCTGAATGAAGTATCTATAAGGTGTGTTCAGGCTCTATCCATGAAGACAATCATTCATGGAATTAAAATCTTTGGGTCTCAGAATATTTGCTGTGAGTAAAAACACATGCTTTCAATTCCTACAGTAATTATTTCAAATTTTAAAAGATTTCCTTAATAAAAAAATAAAAATAAAATAAAATTAAAAAACCACAACTTCATAAGAGAAATAAATATGCTTAACTACTGCTTTTTGACTATCGAAGGTAATTTAAAGTTACTTAAAGAAATCTAAGACTACCTGAAACATTCAAACTGTGGTGTATACATGGTCACTCGTGGTCTATGCATCTGTGGGAGGTTGACTTTAAAGGTAATTCCTGTACCTTTTGCAGCTTCCCAGAGACAGCATAAAACTGGAGATATTTTCCCATGGGAAAACTGTGTTCGTGACAATGAACAAAATCACTGACCGCAACAATGGAGTGTTCACACATAGCCTCAAATGCAAGAGGCTGTTTACAGAAGGCTCTGAACTTTAGG